ATCCTGTTTTCAATTTCTTTTTCTTTTATTATTGCTTAGAATGTCATAAACATTTACAACATAACTGAAGGTTGTTTTGATAGGCTTCAATCTGAAAACTTACCAAGAAATGAATACCTACACGCACTGACATTCAATGGACAACAGTCAAATGACTCCAACTGATATAAGAAATGATGTAAGCCTACTGAAATTGTTGGGAAAATAGGTGTGCCTACCACGAATTATCTGAAGCAAATTGGGTTTAGGAGATATATGACATGCAAAAAGGTCACGGTTTTCTTGAATAAATTTGCCAAAGAACACGAGGGTTGAATCTAGGAAAGAAAAGTAGTCTAAAGAGATATAGAATGATGAATCGAAATTTAATATCATTAAGTCTGATGGAAAGCCATAAAGGATTAACAATCAATTGTAAGAAGACAGACTGGATAGTCATTAGCAAAAAGGACATCCCAAGGCACGAGATGTCACAACCAGTCAACTACAGAAATTTAATTATCTGGGAAGTGATATAATAGACGACGGAAAATTTGACACAGAAATACGAATGAGAATGGTAATGAGAATATTAGCCGTTTCCCTATAAGGAAACATTTGGCATTCATTGATAGAGCAGTCTGTACTGTTTTCGGCTGAAATTTATAAAATCTTTCCCTTTTTCAGAAAAACAGATTTTTCAAGTCCAGTAGCCTTTGTTGACCTTTTCATTATTGATGGTAGTTTCCTTCCTGGCTTTTCATTTGAAGTCGTGTGGAATGTTAACATCTTGATTATGTTGTTATTTTCTCTTCGAGTTACATGTGCCATCCATTTTAGTTGTTGCTGCTGTTGATAATCCTCAAGTGATGTAGTTTGTTATTTAGTAAAGTTCTTTGTGAATCTGTAGCGCCAGTTCACAATGTTCAAAGAAGGTTTCTCTATGCCAAAACTCCCAGGCTTTACTCGCTCAAAGCCTTTTTTTCACTATTGAGGAAGCGGTTGAATACACCTGACAGTTTAGATACTTCTGAACGGGTTTGTCACCATGCATGTCATCTATATGAAAGTCTCGATTTGACGAGACTATTTAAGAACAGTTTTTAGGTTAATCTTTTGGTATTAGGCAAAAACTATCGCTAGAACAGCCTAGTCTATGTTCAATTTATTTTTCTCCTATACTTAATCTGTTATAGCTGATCCATGTGTCAAGGTATCTGAAGTGTTTATTATTTACTAATTCCACATCCTGCATTTTTTTTGCTACATTCAGGGTAGGTGCCATCACTGCTTTCATTCCAATTCCAGATCATAGTTCCTGAGTTTTATCTTTAGTCTCATTTCTTGGAATACTTGGTATAGGATGTTGACTTTTTGTTCAAGATCATTCTTATATTATGAACACTTATGCCACCAGCATAGCTCCCCCCTCATCATCAATATATTGATTTCGAGAGGAAAATCAGGATCGTTGTCTTCGATTGGTGGACTCATTTGGGATGCAGTATGGACTGTTTAAATGGCCAGTGCCCATCTCTTCACATCTGTGCATGTATATGCGAAGAGCATAGTCTAGGAAGAGATTAATTAGATAGGAGCTCTAATTTCCTCTTTGTCATACTCAGATGCATTCAGTAGATTCTGAGCTTAGAAGGAGGTTTCTAATGGATGACAAGAGGAAGTCTCTGTTGATGTGATCATAGAAGGCTGTGGGGTTGACAAAGTAGGTATACAGTTTCCTATAAGAGATCAAGTCAATTTCTTAGAGTTGTTTGATGATATACATGCCGTTATTGTATCTCTTTCTAGAACGAAAACTAAACTGGGTAGTGAGGAGTTGACGTTCATAAAACGATGAGTGTTACAGTTTTTTGTATATATGTGTGTACTAGTGAGCTAGCCAAAATGAGCTGACTCATTTTATAGTCCACCAATAGAAGGGTTAACCAATCAGAAAAATAATCAATGCGACGTTTATAAAGGCAGACATTTTGTTTTTTCTCCCAAATTATCTTCACTGCCAACCTGATATCGAAGACTTAAAGAATTTACAGCCGCTACTTTCTCCAAATCTACACTGCCAACCTCTGATATTGAAGAGATTACGGACTTCACTGGATTCCATATTCAGAGACTGCGGCAAACATGGTCAACAATGAGAGCCTAGTTAATATAATGTTCAATAATACTTTCACCATGATGGATTCAATTGAGATACCTCTGTATGCGTGTGGGTCTTCAGGATCGCCTTTCACTTTCCAAAATGCATTAAAGCATGATAGACCTCATTTTTTGGGGGGGAGGGGGGAGCGTGTATTTCTGATTCTAGCCTTCTTTCATAAAACAGAGGAACTTGTTATTGAATTCAGGAAGAAAGTAAACTGTTTGCAAAAGTTCTGATACAATGTCGAGTGATGATTTATTATTCTTTCTTTTTTAAAACTTTATTAATTTCCTCATCACTAGGTTCTAGGTTGTTTATATTTGGGGACGTCTTTTGTAATCGTTCGACGAATATTATTATTTCTATGTCTACAGACTCTGGTTAAGTTGAAATGCGATTCCAGGCGCATTCGAATAGTGAAAGATGCTTCCAAAACCTAAACAACTTCAAGAAAAAGGGCACTGAATGCTCCGCTGTTATGCAATATAAATCCTCATATATGACAGTGAATGCTCGACAACCATCTCACGGATCAAGTAGTTGAGGTTCTACAGAATTATGCTGAGAATACTATCAACGGATCATGTGAGCAATGAGGAAGTTTTAAGGAAAATGAGAACGAAAAAGAAATTTATGCTTAGGATTAGAAAGAGACAGTTGAAATTTCTGGGAAAGATGGTCTGGAGAAATTGACACTCAAAAGACACACTGAGGTGCAGAGGGCAACTGCGAGTAACATACCTAACGAGCTTGTAATACACGGATGTCAGAACGTGAACTGGAAAGGAGAAAAAAACATTGCTTAAACCTAGATAGGGTAGGAAGTCGTGGAAAGCCATGATTCTCCACGTCCTGATGGTTGATTGGTTTGTTTGTTTAACAGAATATGAACTTCTTGTGGGTCATGAAATGTGGGAATTTGATTTTCTTGGGAGCTTTGAAGTAGTCAAAATATGATATATGTTATTCTGTTTTCACAATTGAATACATGGTAGATGATACTCAGCTTTTGTGCATATACATATTTGTATAGACGTAATAACTAGAGGATGTGATAAGTGTTTTTTATGTTTTAGTTTTGTTTAAGTTACATCTTTTAATACAGTTCGATTTCTTTAAGAAATTGTAGGATATTATATGCAGTAATGAACTGAAAGAGTTCTTTCATGTTCGTTGTTTGGTTGGTTGATTTTGTTTAGCGACATATCAATCTCTATGAGTTATTTAATGCCGAAATTTAAATATTCTGGGTGCAATTGTTTTGTGCGGTGCTTGCAAAATAGTCGCAAATACAGATGAAATGTATAGTTGGTCATTTTACTATCAATGCTGGTAATTTTTTTCATATAAAAATGTATTATTGGTAATTTTAATATAAAAATGTATTTTTATACTTTCATAGTGTTTTGTTTTTTTGGGGTACTCACTATTTGCCCATAGCCGGGACCTTAACAGGTGCTACCACCCCGGGTCAGAGTGAACCTGGGAACAACAGCAATTACGAGGTGGTTCCACGTTTCTCAAAACCTGGAATCTCCCGATCAGAGGCCTTGCTGCCGGATGTAGTTTATTATCACACCATGGACTGGTCCTGAAGGGACACAGCATATAAATGAAGAAAAGGAGGTTTGGTGGTCAAAAGGACGTTATAAGAAACATAGGCGACAGCGTTTAATTGTTGTAGAGTAATGCTCATTCCTGAATAAATGAGTATATTTGCGTCGGGTTGTGCACATTGAAGTACTGCAGTTGCCTATCCAAGCACTGAACATCAACTTTATCAGGACCGTTTCATAAAGGGTTGAAATTAACACCCGGCCAATAAGCTCTCAGCCTTCTTGAACATCTGCAAACTGTGAATTACCATGATAGTCTTGGAGAAAAGATATTGAAATGGTTCTTCGTTGCCTTCTCGTTGTTTTACATTTAGTGTTGTCCTCCTAGACTGGTTGCCAGCCAAGGCTAAAGAAACCAATTTAGCCCATAGGTTTCGAAAGACAAGAGATGTTTTCATGCCTTTTCCAAGAGTGTTAGTGCGAACTGAAACAAACTGTTTTAGTTGGAATCTGAACTTGGCTCGACTATTCCATTTAACCGTTCAGTCAAGAGTCGGTCAATAAATCCGTTGACAGAGCTTAATTTTGATCTGACATTTTCATTGTATAATGTTCAATCTATATCCTTTATGAAGAAAACTTAGGCTGAATGCACAGAGAATGAAGTCGATTATGTCAAATAGTAAATATTGTATAAAATACATACTGATCTTATTTTCCAGACAGCAAAATCATTGATGTACTTCCGTTAAAGCCATAGCGGTTAATCTCTTTTGTGCAAGTATCTAACACATTTGAAGTGGAGTAGATTTTGCAACAAGTCCTCAGGTCGTCATGACCAATGCTAACCGGCTGTCTTTTATAAGGCGCATTGGCTTGTAAAGGATAGTCTGGCTCATTTCTATTTGAAATTTTTTCGACAACATTTGAACAGTTTGGTTCATAATTTATTCATCAAAACCGGTACATTTTTCTACAAGTTATTTCTACTGCTTTTGTTCCAAGTCTAAATTCGTATTGTAAACACAATCAAGGTATTCACTTAATTTCCCTCGTTACTACTGTAAATATGCATCTCTCAATGTTATTTAGTCGTAAATGTGTGTAGTACCGTTTGGTTGGAAATTCTTACGAATTATATCAATTTTAAGTTAAAAAGATATCGAAAACCGCAGAACTTTTTTCTTCATAGGAAGACTAAAGGAAAAATAATTGACTCCAACTTTAGGATTGGGGCGGGGAGGGAAATTTTTTCTATTATTATTATACTTAAGAAAAATCCGAGAGTTTAATTTTCTCACCTGAGCTGCCAACTTTCCTGCTCGGAGACGTGGTATATCCGTGTGCGATACATTGTATATCTTGTCCAGTCGGGAATTTAAGTCAATGCTGCCAACCGTACCTTTCAAACGGATTTGATAGGGTAAATCATTGTGTCTGAAATAAATATAAATTAATAAATTAAAATAGAAATGGTAGAATAAAGATAATCATATAAAATTCACAAAACCCAGTAATTTTGAATACTAGAATTTTTTGCAACATACTAATGCATGTTGAAATCCTTACAGTATTTCGTATTGTTGAAGTAATCGCCAATATTTTTTGTCGAAATTTACAAACTTTAAGTTTCGTTCAATTTCTCAAACCAATCGATGAAATTTGAATAAGTTTATTTGTTTAGAAAAATACTTTAGCAAAATCCCTATTTCTAATAATATCTTTAATTTAATAGGAATTCATCGTAAACAATATTTTACTAAGCACTCTAGTAAAATCAAGTAGGGACAAGGTTGGCAATAGGTTTGCGGAATGGGAAAGAAGTATTGTCTTGTTTGAATATACTCTTTAGTTTAAAGCTTCTTCATCATGAGCAGTACCAATCAGAAACTCTCTTGTCCAAGAATTTATAATAATTCTCTGCATTTATCTGGCTACCAGCATTTATTTTGAAGGGGCCCATTATTTTGCTACTTATAATACTAGTCCAAAAAATACATCACTGCCTCTTGGTGTCTTCTAAATTATATTAGTTGACTATTTCCACAAATGACCAATTCTAGCGCAGTCATCAGGTCTATACAATATTCCTCTACATTCATCATTAAAAAAATATTGTTGAGAAATCCATTTTCAGATATTTTCCAAATTTACACATTTCTCTTTGTTGTGTTTACTTAAAGCTGATAGTTTGGTTGTTTTCTCTCTTTAGCCAAATTTCTTAATACTAGAATTTTTTTGCTACACACTGACACGTGTTGAAATTTTCACAGCAATTAATATTGTTGAAGTTATCCCTAACATTATTTGTCGAGATTTAAAAACTCTACGTTTCGTACAATTTCGCAAACCAATCGATGAAATTTAAATAAGCTAATGAAGGTGTTGCATTTACGTCACTTAATATTATGGGAATTCAAGTGATGGAAACACACTATGGAAACATCTAGAAACTTATGTAATGGCTATGGTCAAGGAGTCATAAAGTGACCGGTAAGTAGGGAATTGGTTTGCAAAGTTTCATTACGGGGAGAAACATCGTCGGAAGATGAACCCGGACAGGAACGTTGATCAGACTTTGATGCTAAAGCTATAAAGTCATTAATGGAAATCGATCTACGGCAAAGTAGTCGTGAATAAGCAAAGATATTCAGCCTATTGCAATCTACTACATTCTGACACGTCAACAAGCTGTGTGTTTGCGTTCCACACGCTCGTAGCAAAAAGAGATAAAAGCGAATCCTTGTTAAACAGAAACGGAAATTATTTATGACTTAAGCTAATAATTTTGGAAAATAATCAGAGATGCATGTGGAAGTAGACACTCTCCGGTGGGGTTTCTCATTCGGCAGGGTGACACCAGCAAGTCAGCTTGTGTATTGTCTAAGCGACGCATTCACAATACTGTCTCGAACATCGTTACAATGCTCCCGCAAGTAACTAAGTTTCCGTCAGTGTCAGCGGTGATCAGCACAACAGACGTGACATTGCTATCGAATCGCGCGGCAGTGGGCTCCGAAGAATCAGTGAAACGCACCGGTCCTACGATGCACTGCAATACCCACTTCTCTTCCCTTACGGAGAAGATGGGTACCACTTTGGCATTCTGCAAAATGGGTCCACCTTAAAAACGGTGTATTGCAGGGCTTTCTATGCTTACCTATTGATGGTACATGAGGGTGAATTCAATCATCTTCATCGAAGCCGGCAACTTTTCCATCAAGTCATAGTAGACATGGCTGCTAAGATGGAATGCGAAAGACTCTGTTACGTCAGATTGAATCAGACCAAGTTGCGCTGCGACTCTTACATTAACCTCCGTGATGTTTTACGAAATGACGCTGATCCACGCAATATATGCAAGATGTGCATACTACCTGCAACGTTCACAGGCAGTCCACGATACATGCACGCGAGGAGGCAAGAGGCGATTATATACGTTCGTAAGTACACCCGACCATACCTATTCATAACTTTCACATGTAACCCCAAAAGGTAAGCAATTGCTAAAGAACTTATGCCAGGGAAATCGGCCTACGACCGTCCAGAACTCAGTAGCGCGCGTTTACCATCTGAAGTTGGGAATGCTAATGGATGTGATTACAAAGGGCCAGGTTTTGGGGGCTGTTTGCTGTCGCATGCACACTGTTGAGTGGCTGAAACGCAGCCTGCCTCACGCACATATACTAATTTGACTGTGCGACAAGTTTGAGGTCACAGAAATCGATCGTCTTATTTCTGCTGAAATTCCTGATCCGTCGGCTGACCATGAATTGTACGAAATAGTGACAACCAACATGATTCATGGTCCCTGCGGGTCGCATTACCATTACACGAGCTGTCACAACAGCGACGGCAAATGAACCCAGTATTACCCACGAGATTTAGTGAACGGAACCATTACAGGAAGCGTTGGTTATCCACTGTACCATCGAAGGAGTCCCGCTGAAGGAGGATTTACAGCCGTGGTAAAGGGCCACCAAATGGATAACAGATAGGTAGTGCCATACTGTCCCCTGCTAACAAAAGCGTTCAATGCCCACATCAATGTCGAATATTGGCATTCAGTTCGCTCCATCAAGTATGTGTGCAAGTACATCAACAAAGGGACTGATGCTGCTATGTTTGGTATTAGGCAGGAAGGTTCCTTAGACGAAATCCCGGAGTTCCTTGAAGGGCGCGTCATTAGCAGCACAGAGGTCCCTTGGCACATATTCAGCTTCCCCATCCACGAACGCTTCCCTGCAATCGTCTAGCTTGCTGTGCACCTAGAAAACGACGAACTTCGTTATTTTTCTGCGTATAGAGCAATGGATATGGCTGCGCGTACCAAAGACACAATGTTTGCAGCGTTCTTCAAACTTTGTCGAAAGGACGAGTTTGCTAGGTTTCTACTGTACCCAGACGTGCCTTCATACTACGTGTGGAAGAAAAAGAACACCTGGGCTCGGCGGAAGTGCGGGGCCAACGTCGAGGGCGATCCAGGCGTAAAAAAAGACGCCACACTCGGAAGGGTATTCACTGTTCCCCCATCGCGACAGGAATGTTTTTACTTTCGACTCCTTTTGCACGAAATTAGTGGTTCAACGAGCTACAATAACATACGTACGATTATTGTAGATTTATGTGACACTTTTCGTGAGTCTTGCTTCTGTCTCGGCCTTTTAGAAGACTACAGCCAATGGGATGCCACAATGGCTGAGGGAGCTCTTTTAAAAATGCCCTCTGCTTTGCGCCACCTCTTCACCACAATCTTACAAATGTGCGAACCCAGTGATCCCAAATCCCTTTGGAACAAATACAAGGATTTTTGTCCGAAGACTTACTCAGAGAAGCGCAACTGCTGTGTCCAACAATGGCTCTTACATTCAACGATGAAATTTACAACAGGGCACTCATAATCATTGAGAACCTGTTTATTGAAATGGGTGGGGGTGATCTCTCATCGCCAGATCGTGTGGCTTCCTCCAGTCTCTTACCTGAGATTGCGCGGGAGACATCCTACTCTGTTGAGGAGCTCAACGCCTATGTCACAACAAATGAGCCAAAACTCATAGACCAAAGGGCCGCATACGACGCGGTTCTTGCATCCACTAGGCAGGATACAGGATTAATTTTCTTCCTGGACGCGCCTGGGGGAACGGGAAAAACGTTCGTAACAAAACTGCTTCTTGCAGAAATTCGGCGCCATGCGTCTTCAGGCATTGCTGCCACATTACTACCGGGTGGTCGAACAGTGCACACAACGTTTAAACTTCCGCTTGATATGATTAAGGCAGAAACAGCTGTATGCAGTATAGCCAAGCAATCAGGTCTAGCGGAGGTACTCAGTCGATGTAAGCTCATCGTCTGGGATGAGTGCACTGTCAGTCCCAAAACTGCACCCGAGGCTGTAAACCACTCTCTGAAGGATATTCGAAACTCGGATGATCTTATGGGAGATATAACTCTCCTTCTATCCTTGAAATAAGCACTTGCTCTCCTTTACCACATTACTGTGAAGTATTGAACTCATCACCAACTAATGTATAGTTACTAGCATCAATTGTCTCTACTCACATCACCATATCATATGTACAGAAATGAATGACCCCGACCATATTACGGGCCCTTTCAAAAATGCGTGCGTGACCCCTTCGTGAAGCAAAAAATCGATAAAAAGCTCCGGTTCGACCCTGCCATCAGTTGTCAGTTTTTGACTTCTTTTCACGTCCAGGCTGCAATTAACGTCAAATGTCGATTCAACTTCCAACATTTACGGCGTCAATTCGTAACGGAGACAGATTTTCAATTTGGACTCAGGCTTTCAAAAAATTGGTAAATCGGCCGGTATTTGGGCGGATTACATTCTAAAATTTCGGGCGTTCTTTACTATTCAACCAGAAATGCCTACGCGGCCCATTTAGAATGCCGTGTGACCCCGTCGTTACTCAATAATCGATACAAATCTCCGTGTTGACCATGCCCTCAGCAGTTCATTTCCCACTTCTTTAAACTGTGTTCTTTCTCCCACGCCGCATCCCACATCCGATTTTTCAATTTATGTCCATTGTTTCATGCCGGAGCCCGATTTTTTATTTGGGACTCAAAAAAAAAAAAAAACGATTACCTCACAGGTGATACGGATTTGGGGGATTTTAAGTTGAATGGCTCGCCTGCACTAAGCTTTTTAACTCATTTTGGACTTCGCGTTGTTAAACACTTTTGAGCTCTTTTTATTTGAACTTAAAATCGGATCAATGTATGGTTTCCAAAGTACCGGGTTAACAAAACAAGGCAACAACAACCCCGCCCAAGTAGTATGACCAGTCTCAATATTTCAGGAAACTGGGTTGCGCGTGAAAAAGTTTTTGTTGTTAAAATTGTTTTTTCATCCTGTTTTTCCAGTTACGATTCCTTTTTTTTTAAAGCTGATCGTTTTGTGTTCATTTTGTTTA